ACAAGACTATACATGATTTTAGTAGTAATGATAATATGAATTTTGTTTTACCAAAGTTATATATTACACATATAAAAAAGCCTAAAATATGTGTATGGATTTTATATATAATTTTTGTTTTACCAAAGTTATATATTACACATATAAAAAAGCCTAAAATATGTGTATGGACTTTATATATAATTTTTGTTTTACCAAAGTTATATATTACACATATTAAAAAACCGAAAAATGTGTGTATGGATTTTATAATTTTAAAAATTATTAAAAATCAACTGACGTAATAAAATGTTAAGGAAAAAAATNTTTAGATTATTTTTAAAAGTTATATATTCCATGGAATATGAAAAGTTTTTNTTACTAAAAAGTTTGTAGTTAAAAAAAAAAAATCTTACATTCAACCACACATTACAATAACAAACGTTTAAGAAATCGTATCTTAAAAAAATCTCAACTATTTTTCTACAATGAACAAAAACCAAAATATATATAAGCTTACCAGACGAAGATAAACTACAAAAAAATACATAAAACTATTTTAAAAGGAACTACAGGCCTCTTCAACTCTGACTAGCAAAATCTAAGATCAAAGTTTAAGAAAAAAACCTACACCTTGCTAATGAAGATATAAGCTTTCCCATTCATCGATTGAAAAGAATGTAAACAACAAGCAAACAAGATGTTGTTCAGTATATTCCATATGCCACATTACTAAAGAAATTGTGAAGTGCTAAGTATAAGATAATAACAAAGAGACATTGTGAAGACATATGGAAACCAACTATGATTGATAATTCATACTACTATAAAGATAAATTAGAAAATAACTGATAAATTTTATCTGCAAATTTGTTATCGATTATTTAGATAACATGATTTATCTAATGGCCTAATATATGTACATAACAAAGCTTTAAACAAATAAATTTTAAATGATAACTTTGATATTTTCATGCATCTTTAAAACTAATTCAAAACNTTTNTNTATTTGATTTCAAANCAAATATTNTTTTCTATATCAANNNTTNANTNNTTTTTATC